GATACAGGGGACATGGGTTCGTGCCCCGGTCTGGGAAGATCCCACATGCCGCGGAGAGGCTGGGCCCGTGAGCCATGGCCACTGAGCCTGCGCGTCCGGAGCCTGTGCTCCGCAACAGGAGAGGCCACAACAGTGAGAGGCCCGTGTACCACAAAACAAACAAACAACAACAACAAAAAACAGACTTTAAACCAAAGCCCATAAAGAAAGATAAAGAAGGACACTATATAATGATAAAAGGATCAATACAAGAAAAAGATTTTATACTCATCAACATATATACCCCTAATATAAGAGCACCCAAATACATAAAACAAATACTAACAGACATATAAAGGGAGAAAATTGACAGGAATACAATATTGGGTTGGCCAAAAAGTTCGTTCGGGTTTTTCTGTGCCACCCTCCAGGAAAACCTGAATGAACTTTTTGGCCAACCCAACAGTAGGAGACTTTACCATCCCACTCACATCAGTGGACAGATCTTCCACAGACTCAATAAGGCAACAGAAATACTAAATGATACAATAGAACAGTTAGACTTAATTGATATTTTCATGACATTACATCCCAAAAAACCAGAATACACATTCTTTTCAAGTGCACATGGAACATTCTCTAGGATTGACCCACATACTAGGGCACAAAACAAGCCTCAACAAATTTAGGAGTACAGAAATTATCTCAAGCATCTTTCCTGACACAACAGCATGAAACTAGAAATTAGCCACAGAAAAAGAAATGAGAAAAAAAAATTACATGGAGACTAAACAACATGCTACTAAAAAACCAATGGGTCAATGATGAAATCAAAGAGGAAATTAAAAAATACCTTGAGACAAGTGACAATGAAAACACAACCATACAAAATCTATGGGATGCAGCAAAAGCAGTTCTTATAGGGGACTTCATAGATACAGGCCTTCCTCAAAAAAACGAGAAAAATCTCAAATAAACAACCTAATCTACCACTTAAAAGAATTAGAAAAAGAAGAAAAAACAAAACCTAGTCACCAGAAGGAAGGAAATAATAAAGATCAGAGGGGAAATAGAGATTTAAAAAACAACATAAAAAAATTAATAAAACCAAGAGCTGGTTCTTTGAAGGATAAACAAGATTGATAAACCTCTGGCCAAGCTCACGAAGAAGAAAAGAGAGAGAACTCAAATAAACAAATTAGAAATGAAAAAGGAGACATAACAACTGATACCACAGGAATACAAAAAACCATAAGGGAATACTAAGAACAATTATATGCCAACAAATTCAACAACCTAGAAGAAATGGACAAGTTTCTAGAAACATACAGCCCACCAAAATTGAATCAAGAAGAAATAGATAATTTGAACAGACCAATCAATAGAACTGAAATAGAATCTATAATTTAAAAACTCCCTATAAACAACAGTCCAGAACCAGACAGTTTCACAGGCAAATTCTACCAAACATACAAACAAGAACTTATACCTATCCTTCTCAAACTCTTCCAAAAAATTGAAGAGGAGGGAACATTGCCAAGGACATTCTATGAAGCCACCGTCACTCTGATACCAAAACCAGACAAAGACACCACCAAAGAAGAAAATTACAGGCCAATATCTTTGATGGTACAGGTGCAAAAATTCTCAACAAAATATCAGCAAACCAAATCCAACAACACATAAAAAAGATCTTACATCACAACCGAGTGGGATTCATCCCAAATTCATAAGGATGGTTCAACATATGCAAATCAATGTGATACACCACATAAACAAAAGACAAAAACCACATGATCATCTCAATAGATGCAGAAAAGACATTTAACAAAAATGCAACATCCATTCATGATAAAAACTCTTACCAAAGTGGGTATAGAGGGGACATATCTCTAAATAGTAAAAACTATTTATGACAAACCCACAGCCAATATAATACTCAATGGTGAAAAGCTGAAAGCCTTCCCGCTAAAATCTAGAACAAGACAAGGATGCCCGCTGTAACCACTTCTATTCAACATAGTATTGGAAGTCCTAGCCACAGTAATCAGATAAGAAAAAAAAATAAAAGGTATCCAAATTGGAAGGGAAGAGGTAAAACTGTCATTATATTTAGATGATATAATACTATATACAGAAAAACCCTAAGGACTCCACACAAAAACTACTAGAACTGGTAAATGAATTCAGCAAGGTAGCAAGACACAAGATTAACATACAGAAATTGGTTGCATTTCTTCACACCAACAATGAAGTATCAGAAAGGGAATGTAAAAAAAATCAATACCTTTTAAAATCACAACCCCCCAAATAAAATACTTAGGAATAAACCTCACCAAGGAGGTGAAAGACTTATATGCTGAGAACTATAAAACATTAATAAAGGAAACTGAAGATGATTCAAAGAAATGAAAAGATATCCCATGCTCCTGGGCTGGAAGAATTAATATTGTTAAAATGGCCATATTACCTAAAGCAATCTACAGATTTAACATGATTCCCTATCAAATCACCCATGACATTTTTCACACAACTAGAGCAAATAGTCCTAAAATTCACATGGAACCATAAAAGACCCAGAATTGCCAAAGCAATCCTGAAAAAAAAGAACAAAGCAGGGGGCATAACCATCGCAGACTTCAGATAATACTACGAAGCTACACTGATCAAAACAGTGTGGTATTGGCATAGAAACAGACACATGGATCGATGGAACAGTATAGAGAGCCCAGAAATAAACCCACACACCTACAGTCAATTGATCTTGAACAAAGGAGGCAAGAATATACAATGGGAAAAAGTCCCTTCAGCAAGCGGTGTTGGGAAGATTGGACAGCCACATGTAAATCAATGAAGTTAGAAGACACCCTCTCACCACACAAAAAAATAAACTCAAAGTGGCTTAAAGACTTAAACATAAGATATGACACCATAAACCTCCTAGAAAAGATCATAGGCAAAACATTCTCTGACATAAACCATACCAATGTAGGTCAGTCTCCCAAGGCAACAGAAATAAAAACAAAAATAAACAAATGGGACGTAATCAAACTTACAAGCTTTTGCACAGTAAAGGAAACCATAAACAAAACGAAAAGACAACATACAGGATGGGAGAAAATATTTGCAAATAACGCGACCAACAAGAGCTTAATTTCCAAAATATACAAACAGCTCATACAACTCAACAACAAAAAAACAAACATACGAATCGCAAAATGGGCAGAAAACCTAAAGAGACATTTCTCCAAAGAATACCGAAGGCCAATAGGCATATGAAAAGATACTCAACATCACTAAATATTAGAGAAATGCAAATCAAAACTACAATGAACTACATGCTCACACCAGTCAGAATGGCCATCATTAAAAAGTCTACACAACATCGTTAATCAACTATACTCCAATATAAAATAAAAATTAAAAAGTTAAACACAAAAAAATTAAATAAAATACCTTCAAAAAAAAGAAAAAGGTCTACAAATAACAAATGCTGGAGAGGGTGTGGAGAAAAGGGAACCCTCCTACACTGTTGGTAGGAATGTAAGTTGGTGCAGCCACTGTGGAAAACAGCGTAGAGGTTTTCCTCAGAAAACTAAAAACAGAATTACCATATGATCCTGCAATCCCCAGGCATATACCCAGACAAAACTATAATTCAAAAAAAGATACATGCACCCCTATGTTCATAGCAGCACTATTCACAATAGCCATGACATGGAAACAACCTAAATGCCCATCAACAGATGAATGGATAAAGAAGATGTAGTACATATATACAATGGACTACTATTTAGCCATAAAAAGAAAGAAATAATGCCATTTGCAGGAACATGTATGCAACTAGAGATTATCATACTAAGTGAAGTAGGTCAGAAAGAGAAGGACAAATACCATATGATATCACTTATATGTGGAATCTAAATTATGACACAAATGAACCTATCTATGAAACAGAATCATAGACACAGAGAATAGAATGGGAGAGGGATGGATTGAGAGTTTGGGATTAGCAGATGCAAACTGGTATATATAGGATGGATAAACAACAAGGTCCTACTGTATAGCACAGGGAACTATATTTAATATCCTGTGATAAACCATAATGGAAAAGAATGTGAATATGTATAACTGAGTTACTCTGCTGTACAGCAATTAACACAACATTATAAATCAACTATACTTCAATAAAAAGAAAAAAATAAAAGGGAGGAAAACAAAAGACAAAAACAACCCAGTCACATAGCCTAAGGAGGAGGGTAGGCAAGCAGAAACCTAAAGGGAGTGAATATCAATGAACAGATCTCTAACCACACTCTGCAGCATGATGCAGCTTTGCAAAACATCACAGAGACAGAGCCAAGGGAGAGGTCAGGTCCACTGGTTTGCAGAGGATGACATAAAAATGGGTCCAGAGTCCAGATCGGTCAGGGAGTCACATGCTGGGAAGAAGCCACCCAGATTCACAAGGAGTGCTGAGAGGGCCCCGTGAGGGTGGAGGGCTGCCCAAGTCGGTGGGTAAGAGGAGGACAGATGACAAGGAAGTAGGGGCTCACGACTAGAAGGCCAAGGTCAAGACCTTGAAGGTAGCACTGCTCCTGATGAGTGAGATGGATGGGGCCAGTGTGGTGGGAAACAGCGTCGAGAGGAAGACGGCAAGGAGCTGGCATAGGTGGGGTCAGATCGTTGATGACAGAGGAGAAAATGCAGGCAGCGGGGTACACACGGGTACAAGGACCTGTCTGAATCAACCTTTACAGAAAAGGAACCCATGAGCAGTATGACGGTCTATACTTACTGGGTGTCAGAAAGGAAACGCCATTCTGTTCTTCCAAGCCTACATTTGGATCTTTCCAGGGCCCAAAAGAGAATGAATATTTGAACAACGAGCAGTCAAGAGTCAAGGAAAGCATTTTTAGAGCCTTTCCCTCTTGAAGTGTATTTTGCTCAAGGAGAAAGGGAAGTTTTTCAAATACAGATTTCAGACTAGCCACTCAGAACCGTCCTCTGGAGGCCCTTACCTTGGTCTGTTTCTTCTCGGTGGCGTAGACGATAGAGGTACAGCAGACTTCAGCGATCTTGCGGCCCTGGCCGTAGAAGGACCAGCAGCAGATTTCGTCCCCAATGACATCCTTTATGAACAGGACCCTTCCATTAAAGCGCAGCGATAGCTTATCAAACAGTTCGATGTTCTTCAACATATTGTCGTCAGAATTGCTGCAAAAGAACATTTGATAAAGTGATTGATTACAAGCTGGTGTTAACAGCCACCACTAGTGGGGGAGTGTTTCCACACACCGGGCCCATTATCTCCAACATCCCTTTTCAACCTCACAGTAAGCCCGTGAAGAAGGCACTACAGTCCCCAAAGCTCAAAGGAAAGCAAGGGTCAGAGAAATTAGGGAACTGGCTGAGGCCAAAAACTAATAAATGGCAGAGCTGAGCCTCAAAAAGACAGCTCTGGCCTCTAAGTCTGCGCTCCTCACCAGCGAGCTAGGGCGGACGCCCTGCTGTGCAACAGCCAGGAATGAAATGCTGAAACCACGGGGTCTGCAGGCAGAGGCACCAGGTTGGGGACATGGGGGAGAGCCCCACAGAGCCACATGAGAGGCTGAGTGACCTGCCCGAGGGAGACTTTTTATCCTGGGCCCATTTATGGGTCTTAAATAACTTCATCTAATACCCCTACAACCCATAAGTTCCTGATTTAGAGCCACGTGTTCCCAAGAGCCAAAAGGCATTCTAGAAACCTGTAGATATTGCTAGTGGGAACATAAAATGGCATAGTCACTTTGGAAAACAGTTCGGCAGGTCCTCAAGTGATTAAACGTAGAGTTACCATATGACCCAGCAATTGCACTCCTAGGTATCCACCCAAGAGAAATGAAAACATGTATGTGTACATGCATGTCCACAGCAGCATTATTCCTAACGGCCAGAAGGTGGCAACAACCCTAATTGTCCATCAACTGATGAATGGACAAGCAAAATGTAGTCTGTCTGAACAATGGAGTATTTTTCAGCCATAAAATGAATGAAGTACTGATGCGTGCTACAACGTGGATGAACTTTGAAAACGTTATGCTAAGTGAAAGAAGCCAGACACAAAAAGCAACATATTATAAGATTGTACATATATGAAATGTCCGGTGTAGGCAAATCCATAGAAACAGAAAGCAAAGTAGTGGTTGCCTAGGGCTGGGGGAGATAAGAGGGTGGGGGCCATGGGGAGTGACTGCTAACAGGTATAGGTTTCCTTCTGAGGTGATGAAAGTGGTCTACAATTAGGTAAGTGGTGATGGTAGCACAACTCTGAATATACTAAAAAACACTGAATTGTGTATTTTTAAACGGTGAATTTTATGGTATGTGTGAATTTGATTTCGTATCTATCGATCCATCTGGGCATTCTAGAGGTGCAAAAAGGCCACCCTCATCTGAAGGGAACGAGGGGAGTGGGCCTGGCTGGTTTGAGTGCAGATGTCTTTTCTGGCCAACACCTTACCTGGTATACGAGTATTTGTTGTTACTTCTGTTGTAGAGCAACTTCACGGCTGGCTGTGGGTTGTTTTAAAAAAAGGAAGAAGAGAGTCACTTGGAGTGCAGGTGCAAAGGACCACCGGCTTCCCACAGCACTGGAGCCCTGCCATCCGCCTGAAGAGGCAGATAAGCATAGCCTGCTGGCTGGGGTGGGGCTGGAGAGGGAGACTGCGTGAGCCAGCACCAGGAGAAACAAAAGATGAGCTATACTCTCCCATTCCTGACCCCTTCTCAGGCCTTGCCCAGGCAATTTCGCACATTTTTATTCCAAAACTTACTCAGAATAACCTCCACCACTTTTGGTAGCAAAAGAAATGCCACAAGGTTGCCTCCACCATACCTTATTTGAAGTCGCTATAAGTTTCTGTTCTTCCTTGGATGAGGTGATGACAGGAACTTTGCAGAAAGGCTCATAAGTATCTTTGTTCTGCTGGAACAAAACATGCTTTCAGCCTGGGAGGCCTGCCCAGCATTGAACTGTTTAAGCTGGCCTGCCGGGCAAAGACGGACTCTGGCGAGGGGAGATGGGGCAGCCGTGGCTGGGAAGAGAGGAGGATTCTCAGCACCAGTGAAGTAGGATGGGGGACGACCAGGAGTGGAGTTCTCCAATGAACCCGCTCTTCGGCCAGGACTGTTGTATGCCAGGGTGCTTGGCATATAAATACTAACAACAATGACACATTTCACAGCCCAGGAAGCCACTCAAAAATAAACCCTAAATATGGCAGATGAAATATGATTGCATCAAAGCTCCTAAAACCCCACTGCAATGACTGCAGAGGAATTATAAGCCCATAAGGAGAGAAAGAATGGGAAAAGTGAGGTCAGCAGACAAAAGATGTCAAAAATTCAAGTCTGGAAAGCAGGTCTCAAGTGAGTGATAACCAAGGAGCAGAACGCTGAAACCTAAGTTGGCAGATGGGAAAGAATCCACAGCTTTGAAGGCTGGTGGACTCAGGGCAAGAGCAGAGGGTTGCCTGCTAGTCGACAGAAGCACTGGTGAGACCTCCAGATGGATCCCCTACCCCAGACGGGCAGGAGAAAAGTCCACTTTCCTGGAGCAGTTTGTACAGGAGAAGACAGGGCTGAGCTGCTATTCCAAAAACGGGAGATTAAGTGAACCATCTACACACTAAATGGTGAGCCCTACCCCCACCCCAGCCCCTTCTCCTACTCAGATCTCAGAAGGCAGCCAGTTGGGCTTATACCCACCAGGCAAGAGAGTGGAGGATTCCTCTACAGGGAACCACCTGTCCAAAAAAAAAAAAAAAGGCTTACAGATTCTGACATTGAGAGTTCCCACTGAAAAAGCCAGCCTTATCATCTGCCACTGAAGCCCACTGGACAACAATACATACAGTGTTTCAGAGCCTTTACTCTTGAATTTCAACAGACCAAGGACCATCAGATTATACCCGGAAAGCCTCCCAAATATGAGACTGAAACCAAAACAAAGAGAAAAAGTAAGAGAAGGAGTCACACAATGAAGGCAGCAGAAAGAAAACTTCAAATAGTATCATCAGACAGATGAGAGCAGATACCGCATCCCATGAAACAAGATCAGCGTGCTATATAAAAAAGAGCACTCGGAGAACTAGAAAAGGCTCTCGGGAGTCAGAAATACGATAGCAGAAATGAAAAATTCAATAGAAGCGTTGAAAAGATAAAACTGAAAAAACGCTCTGAGAAAATAGAAGGATAAGGGCGAGAGAAATTAGGAGGTCAGTCCTGGAGGTTTAATCTCAGACTAACAGAAACCACAAAAAGGAACCCAGAGGGCATGTCTCTAAGACAAAGATGAAACAGATTCCCTGATGTGTCTGAACATACCAGAAGGAGACTGAAGTTTCTGAGAATTTAGGGCTGAATTAGGGATGTGAGCTTAGAAAACCAAGCAAACAAAAGACAATGAAGCGATCACTAATTCTGGCAAACTGAAAAGTTACACGAGAAAGGAAATAATCACTGTATACTCTGTGGCTCACCTGTTAACAATATTTACACAACTCAATGTAAACTCTGAGTACGGATTTAATCAAAACTGTGATAAACTATACTGGGAGAAGGAATACGTGCAGGCAAGTTTGGTAGTGGCTGGGGTGGTACATGAGCTAAATTTTAATCTTCTACAGAAACGCCAGTAGATAATGTGGTAAACTGGAAAATCAATAAATAATATAAGAAATAGGTGAGTAAAGAACTGCTGCAAGAATTAAAAGGCTGCTGCAGGGGTGGGAGTGGGTGGAAGGCGTATGCTAGTGTTTTTGACATCAACCTAGCTTACAATACTAACTTGCCTTGGTAAACGCTTTACATGCATTACTTTAATAAACATACCAATGAAATAAAAAATAACAAAGTAAAAGCTACAACATTCAGTTAGATTTACAGAGAGTTCACAGACTGGCAGTAGCGGCAGGGGTGGTGCAAATAACAGCTCCTCAGGCAAATACCAGTTCCTCAGGCAGACTGGCATCGTGGGTACTGTCCCAGTGGAGAGCCACCCAAGAGCCTCACGTTTACAGATCCAATTCCTAGGACAACGCAAAGGGGTTCTTCTGATTCTCTGCCATGTCTTAACTTGCCTTGAAATAAATGGCTGCTGGCTACATCTAGAAGCGTTCTGGTTTTGTAGGGATTTTACTGTCCCTAGACTTGACCCCAGCAGTCCTTCCCCAGTCCAGCTGAGGAGTGAGGGGTGTCTGTCTGTAGAGATTACGCTGGGCTCTCAACAATGACTTGTGGGATGAGAATAAGTCTCCCAACGAGTCCAGAGAAGGATCAGGTTTTACACCCCATGGCTCGGTACTGAAGGGTTACAACGCACACAGGGAGAGGACCCAACACCATGGGGGCTGAAATAAGCCAGAGAGCAGTCAGGTGGCCTCAGCATCACAGGGAAGCCTCTCGGAGGTCACGCAGGCCAGAGGGGAGCAGCTCCGGGGTCAACTCATTAACTCTCACAACAGCTCAATGAGGGAGGGGGACAGTGAGAAAGGCAGATGAGTCTGGGGCTCTCCCCGCCCACACGGGGAGAAAAGGTGATACCTACTTGCAGGGCTGCCTGGCACTCTTCCACCAGGCCCTGGACCAGGTAGTACTTGGCTTCTGCCAGCAGCTCCTCGATCTCCCGGCGGCTCTCAGGCAAGGGGACCGCCCCGTCACGAAGGTAGTTGAGTATGGTACCAAAGTGCTTCCCACACCGGTCAATGAGGATCCAGCCTGTGGTGGGAGGAGGCGGGAGGAGAGCTGGGGTGTCTCTTGGCTCCCACCACCTCCGGGGAGAGCAGGACCACAGAGAGGGTTGCGGCCCCACCTGCCCAGCTACCAGCAAAGGGCTGACCAGGCCCCGCTGGCTGCAGAGGAGCACACCCCAGACTCACTGGTTTGGGCTCCTTTATTTTATTTATTTATTTTTAACTTTTTGGCCACAGCAAAGGAAGGATTGAACCGGTGCCCCCTGCGAAGGAAGCACAGAGTCTTAACCACTGGACTGCCAGGGAAGTCCACGGCCCCTGGGGCCTAAAAGCATGTTCCTCAAGTACCTCAAAAATCCCTATGTTAAGAATATCGCAAGAGGGCCTACCCCACACCTGGATAAAATGGGTCCAAATGAGCACATCCCATTGACAGGGGAAAGGCTTCTGGTGTGACAATATCTATTCCCTTTTACAACAAAGCTTTTTTTTTCGGACTCCCAAATAACAGAGCCATTTCTAAGGAAGCAGACGGCTCACGCTGCAGGGAGTCAGTGACATCTGACTCCCAAGGGTGACCCCCAGGCACTCACCAGCACCACTACAGAAAATTCCATCCGTAACCCCCCAAACAAGTGTTTAGTGGCTAATGACAGCGATCAGAGATAAAATGGTGACCAGCCAGACCCTGCCCTCAAGCAGTTCAGTCTAACTTGGGGAGATGGCGCTGGCATTCATGAGATATGGAAACACATTCCAGCTGCTGACCGGAACCAGGCACAGTGCGAAATGGTGCCTTGTGGGTGGGGACAAGGCGAGTCCTGCCGCTTCTCAGTGTCTTCTCCAGTCTCCAGTCCTGGCCCTGGTCTGCAGGGCCGCTATGCGGCTTCGCTTCTCGAAATTCCTCCGCTGAAATGCAAATGCTACTGGGAAGAGGAAAGAGGACTGGAGCCTGGGAAGGGGAGGAGGAGGTACCAGAAGGGGAAGCAGGGTTGAGGTGAAGACCAAGTACATCTCAAGAGAAAACGTGAAGCCAGACAGACGGAGAAGTCCCGGCCTTCCCGATAAGCAGGGTCACCCCGGGAAGGGGGCCCCAAGTCTCCTGCTGCGCACTGCAGGTGAGGAAATGCCAGCGCCCAGGGAAGCTAGGAGGTTCACACAGGAATCACTCATTCTCTGCCCCTGCTTTCCCTCAGCTTGGGAAAAGAGCCAGGTTTCCACTCTAAGACCACTATGTCTTCCCAAATCCTCCTCAGATCCCAGGCCCTGGATCAGCAGCAGAGGCCAATGGAGGCCAAGGGCAGCCAAGGAACCTTTTCACGTCCGGTCACAAGTCGGCCCGCCTCCCCCGAGTCCAGCCCCGCCAAGTGTGCTCAGGTGTTCTAGTGCACTAGTTAGTGTTCTTTGCCGCCATCACCAGGAGAGTTGACAAGGAGGCCATTTCCACGTTCCGCTTTGCAACTACTCCTCAGTCCACGGTTCCTGGGCCTTTGGTTAAAGGTCCCGTCTCGTCCCTCCAGAGCCTTCTGCGCGGCACTTCCACGCTGCTATGGCTTCCTGAGTACAGCAAGAAGTTAATCCCCAATCTCGGCAAACACAAAGCAAATGTGTGGCCTGGAGTCAGACCCTGGATCCGAGGAAGGACAACGAGGCCTTCACAGGTGTGGTAAATCCTGTCACCTTGACAGTGCCCGCTGGACATTATGTTCCCGCTCCTTTCTCCAGCTGAGACAACAAAGTGCGGACTCAGTATCTGTTCTGCAGCTCAGATGCCTACAGGGGCCTTGAGCACACAGGATAACCAGGTGCAGGTGGGCAGGGCGGACCACAGCCCAGGCCCTGCCTCTCCCCGCCCCCGCCCCCCAAGGGGGTTCTTCCCACTCCAGCCAAAACTGGCCAGGCAGGAATGAGGCCCAGGGCTGACAGAGCCCCTGATGTTCCAGGAGAAGCCAAAAATGCAGATTTCCCTGTGAAATCTCCAGACTTCTAAAGAACAGTAAACTGATTTTTTTTTAAAACCTGTCATTAACCCACGACAGGGCAGCCACAACAGGGCCTGCTGGCCAGCAGCCTGTGACCCTTGTTGTTACCGTGGATCAAGTGGTCTCCCTCCAGCAAGCCGACAAGGTATGGAAAGACCGTATTATCTCCCCAATAGTTCCTGGTGATGGAGGCTCATTCCCCTGCATTCTCCTCAGATGAAAACAGAGGCTCAGGGAGGTCCAGGGACACTCCCAAAAGCTGGGGAGGCAGACCTAAACCACAAAGAACAAGCAAGGAACTCGTAGGAAAACTCTTTTCATCATACGAAATTGAGAAGACACGTAGAACCTCAGTCTTTGGGAGAAAGGGCAACAAATTCCACCCAGCCGCTCTGGGAAGAAAATGTCCTCGTCTGCCTTTGATGCGTGGACAACGCAGCCACTCAGAAAGAACGAGGGCCCCTGAAATCAATTACCCAAGTGACAGTCCAGAGTTTCCATAAACGAACAGGCGGACCGTGACACTGGGCTCTGGCTCAAGAATGCTGTCAGGAAATGCTTGTGGTGAAGGAATCATACTTTGGACAAATAAGGGCAAAAAAAAAGAGCAGAGCCAGACGCACTCTCCATGAGGTTTCAATTAACATTTTGACTTCAAAATATTTTAGTTGCTTTCAAAGCAGGAATCGATCCCTTTGAAACAGTCAGCTCCAGTCCCCAGCATATAGACAAGCTAAGGGAAGCCAAGCCAGGTCAGGGCGACCTGGGCTCCCTGGCCCCATTGGCAGGGCTGGAAAGAAGAGTGAGGGGTGTAGACCCGGAGGCTCTGGGACGGGTTGAGTGAGACAGCACAGGCCTGTACTGGAAACCCAGCTCTGCACCTACTTGCTGGATGACGTTGGTGTCTCACTTAACTTCTCTGTCCTACGGTTTCCTGTTCTAAAAATGGTTCCTCCGTGGGCTGGCATAAAGGTAAGATGAGAGAATGTACAGGAAGCACAGAGCACAATGCCGGGTCTGCCAGCAGCCATCAAATAGGTCTCTGATGGTGAGCCCTTTACATATGGCATCATCACTGGAGAACAGACGGGAGTGGCAGCGGCATCCAGAGGCAGAATGTTCCAGCCCCCAGGAAGGGGGTCTGCGTGGTTTTTGGGGTGCCTGGGAGGAGGCTTGGCTCAGAGACGGGGGGCTGGACCGCCGGGCTTGCCCCCTCCCAGCCCCGCCAGCAGACCAGGTACATCCTCTCTCCTTCCCTCCCCCACCTCCTCCAGGAAGCTTTCACTGACCTCTCCTTCTCCATACTAAGGTATTTAGATTTTTATGGTCCCCAAACTTGCCTGTTCGTAAGTTGCCTAAGGTACTTGGGTCCTTGTTACAAATTCAGACTCTTGGAAGTAGCCTCATTCCTAAATCAGAATCTCTAGGGCAGGGTTTCTCTGCCTCAGCACTAGTGACACTTTAGACCGGGTGATTCTTTGTTATGGAGAGACTCTCCATAGGGTGTGTAGCAGCATCCCTGGCCTCCACCCAATAGCATTCCCACACCCAAAACGTGACACCCAGAAATGTCGCTGGATGTTGCCAAGTGTCCCTGAGGGTCAAAAATCATCTCTGGTTGAGCACCACTGACTGAAATAGATCAAAGATCTAAATGTAAAAAATAATGTAAAAACTTCGAGGTATCAAAGTCAACAAATCAGACTGGGAGAAGACATTTACAACATAAGACCACAAAGAAATATGATCCGGAATATATACTTCTACAAAGAAAGAAAAAAGGAAAATGGGAAAACGTGTAAAGATACTGTCCGGCAGCTAAATGATGAAACACAATGGCCAATAAACATGTCACTCAATGCACTGGAAATGCTAAATAAAAAACACAGTACCGTATCACAAGCACCGGACTGGCGGTAAGCAAACGACGACAGGCGCCCGGTGCTGGCAAAAATTCAGACCCCCGTGGGGAGGATAACTGACACAACCGCTAACACCTCATCAAGTCGAGGATATGATCCCCAATTCCCCTCCTGGGAATCAACTCCAGGACAGAGCTCCCAATGGTGGGTAGGACCTTAATGCTGTGGGCCCTGGGCCGGGGGGGTGGGGGGGTGGGGTGGGGCTGGCTGGGGCCTGGGGACTCCAGAGCTTTTTCATTCACCAAAGTAAAAATATTATTTTCTGGGTGTGCCATGATGCGGCAAGGGTTGGGAAGCAGAGCCCACACATGCACTGGGAGAGTGTTGGAGAATGATAATATTCCTAACAGTGAACGCTGGAAACAGCCTAAATAACCATCACAGAACATGGATCCTTAAACTGCATGGAACACTCTACTTCAGGGAAATGTGTGAACTAGAGCTGTTTTCTCATGGATCAATGTCACAGGCATAACGCTCACTAAAGCAAAAGCTAAAAGGCTACGTACAAGCTATAACATGTAACACCGTTTATATGATGTTTAAAAATGCACCAACTATACGGTGGTTACGGACATAAACAGCTGTAGTAACAGTAATTCACGCAAAGCCCCACACCAGTGGTTCTCAGCCCTGGCCGCGCATTAGAATCCCACCTCGAGCTCTTAAAGTCCTAATGCCCACCACACCCTGTCCAGTTACATCTGGCTGAGGAGCGGGGGCGGGGGTGGGGTGGGTGGACGACAGGCATCAAGGTTTAGCTCTGAGGGTGACTCTGTGCAGCAAAGACTGAAATCCACCCCAGTGACCCCACAGTCAAGCTACTTAGAGGTCATGGCTAGAAGGGAGAGAGGCAGAGAGGGTAAAGAGAAGCCCCATGGGTCCAGGTAATGTTTTAGTCCTTGTCTGAGTCGGGGCACAGGGGAGTTTGTTACATTATGCGGTTTAAACGCTTTCAACTTATTTCAGAATTTTGCATAAGGCAGGAGGCCTGCGGGTACTGCAGTTTTCCTGCTTATTCCACTGCCCCACTGGTTTTCTAGGGAACGCCTACTGATAATTAGATTAATGACTCTCTTCTCTGATCTAGTTTATAGACTTCCTTACTCCAAAAACATTAGCCAGAGACCAGACACCATTTAAGGCGGGAAAGTACTACAAGCAACAGGGATGAGGCAGGCAACTACAGGTGAGGGCCGGACAAAAGTCGTGTTACGAAAGGGCCACATAAATCCACCCGCCAATGATGACAATGACAAGGGCTCCGGGAGAAATTCTAGCACTGCAGGAACTGAACCTTTCTGGGGAGGAGTCTGGGAAAGGCCTAATCACTGCCACCGTGTCCTCTCAGAAGAGCGACCCCTGTAGGGGGAACGTGAGACCGCAACACCCTCATCCCACAAGGCCAAGGCAGGCCACTTCTCCACAGCGTGCTGAGACCCTTCCCCACAGCCCCGGCCCCTCTACACCCCAGCCCAGGCAGGACTAAAGCAATAACAGACAGCCCCCATTTACTGAGTCTCCCAAAGTGCCGGGCCCTCTGTCAAGGGCTTTCTAACGTCCTCATGTAATCCCCATGACAACCCCGAAAAGCATTATCATTTGCAACTTTTAAATGAGGAAAGAGGCTCAGAGAAAAAGTCACTCGACTAGTGTCACATCACCAGTGAACAGCAAATGAGCCTGTGTGAGCACAATGCCAAATACGTGGAAACTGCCCCACAGCGGTTAGCCGGGACAGCTACCACGGGACAGAGCAGGGCTCAAATCCAGGCCCGCCCCCAACACCCACGCTCCTCTCTGTTGAGGAATTACGTGCACACGGTATACAACTCAGGCAGGCAGAAGGGCGTGTAGTGCAAGAGAGTCTGCCACCCACCCAGGACCCCAGGTCCCCTCCCCAGAAGCAACCAGCTTCTCAGGTATCCTGTACAGATTTCTAGCAACACAATGCATATACTGTTCGGTATCTTCAGAGCCCTTGTTCTTTAACCAGCATGCCGTCCTGCTGGCTTCACTCGCCTGGGTGAGCCACACTTGGCATTTGGGCCTGTCTGTGGCAAATTTCACTGCCACCGACAAGCTTCCTGCCTGAAGGCCAGGGTGAAGCTGTGAGATGCAGAAAGTCTACCGCGCTTTGTAGATCCAAGGGTGTGCTTAGGCCATGGGTCAGGCTGGGCAGTGTACTCCGCAGGGGCCAAGAGGATTGCTCTGCCAGCACAGCGCTGGCTGGAAGACCAGACACTCAGCCTGACACCCCAGGCCCAAAAGGGCTTCATCTCTAAGCTGGTGGTTGCACCATAAGGCTGCCACACTCAGACGACCAGGCCTAGGGCTGGGCCCACATCAAACCACGCACAACAGACAGTAAGAGCCAGCAAGTCCTGGGTTCAGTAGCTTCATCATTTCCAGCCCCATAGCTTTTGAAAAAGCATTTCACCTCTCTGAGATGTGGATTTCTCACTTAGCAACTGGTAACAGCAGCCACCCCTTAAAGGGTTAAGGTGAGGCTTAAATGAAACCAAACCCATAAAAGGCCATACTGTGAGCTTTTCATGATGACTTGAAGGGGGCTGGAGTTCTGTGAAGTGGAAACAGCCGAGGTTTGGAGTGTCAAAGGCAGCACTGCTTCCCTGGAGATGCTGGGTTTTCCACGAAGCACCGAGGAAGGACATCCCCTGGCAGCTGTTTAGAAGCCTGCACAGGCCCACTGGTCCCACTCTCGTGCGTCTCCCAGTTGGGGGATGGGAAAGCTTGCGGACTCTGTCTCCTTTGTGACACAGCATCAAGCCACCAAGGTGAGGGCTCTCAAGGAGACACGGCTTCCACGTTGCCTTGGAAGCGAGCCAGCCGCTTTTCCTGAGCCCCGCCAGAGACTGGGCAGGGCGGAAGAAAGGCCACAACAATCCTGGGGTCTCAGATAAGGTCCACTTCCTTCAGCAGCTGGGGTGCTATTGTCTTGATTTCCACAAATACTCCCGGGCCATGCTGGCTGCGGCCCAGCAGAGGGGATCCTCCTACTCATAAAAACCCTGGCGTTTTCTGGGTGGGGCACTGAGGCAGCTCTGGGGCTCTGACCTCATTCACCTGCTGCTGGGCCAGAAACCCAAGTTTGTGGGGAGCCCAAGGAAGTGGGACTGAAGGTCCCCCAGCAGCCTGGCTTCTCCAGGACACAGAGGGAGACGCCCCCACTAGCCGACAGTCCAGGGTGTGGCCCTCTTAGGATAGGAGAACACGCTGTGCACACCAGGCCCAGAGCCCCCAATCCCACCCCTGTGTCAAAACTCGCCACTCTTCCAGGAACTACCATCTCGAGAAAGGCAGGGGCGTCAGCACAGAGGCCAGCCTCGGAAACAGGTAAGGTAGGGTCAAGCCAAGCCGTGGTCTGGCCTGGTCTCAAGCAAGCTCAGGCCAAGGAATGAAGGATGGGGCCATCTTTAAGCCTCATGTGACCTGCCCCATAAACCCAGCCAAAGAAGGATGCTCCCTCTTGCAGGGGTCTGAGTGTTCCAGGTGGGTGGAAGTAGTTATGGGAAGTAGGACCATTTTAAACAATTCTTTGCCCTTCATTAACATGACTTTCCACAAAAAGAAAAAAAAACCACACACTGGGGACTTCCCTGGTGGTCCAGTGGGTAAGACTCCACGCTCCCAGTGCAGGGGGCCCGGGTTCGATCCCTGGTCAGGGAACTAGATCCTGCATGCATGCTGCAACTAAGAAGCTCGCATGCCGCAACTAAGAAGTCCGCATGCCACAACTAAGTTCCCATGCCGCAACTAAAAACAAGCAAAAACAAAAAACCCACGCATTGAATATACATATATTGAATGCTTACTATGGGCCAGCAGTCCCCCCGGGGTGCGTGTCATTGTGCCCATTTGCCAGATGGAGAAATGAGACGACGACAGGCTAAACAACTTGATTAGGGTCACCAGACAAGAAAATGGGGAGCTGAGACTCCAAAATCCAGGTTTGTGAGTCTTTTATCAGGACCCCATCCTAGGAGGACAACGGTCCAGAGAAAACGCTCCCACCTCTGTCACACTCGAGTTTCACTCTGACATCACAGAATCATGACCGAGAGAATGGGAAGAGAGCCAACCAGGGCAGCCAGTCCAGCGTCCACTGTACAGAGCTGATGCCTGGGGCAGGGAAGTGACTTTCTCACAGTCACACTGCAAATCAACAGCTAAGTCGAGATTATGACCCCCCCCATCCCACTGACTCCTACTCATCTTCAGCTCTCAGCTTAGGTGTCACCTCCTCAGGGAAGCCCTCCTTGACCACCTCCCCCTCCCCCCCGATTAGATCCAGTTTCCCTGTTACTCACTCTCAAGGCTCCCTGCACGCCCAGTAACACTGAGCACAACAGGAAACCTGGGCCTGTGGACACTGCCTGTTTCACGTTGGTTTTCTGAACTGGAAGGAAGCCCTCGACCACAAGCATGTCCCAGAGGCTGGGCTTACCTTCACTATCCGTGAGCACCTCCATGCGCCCGCTGAACATGGCCTTCAGCATGGTGTCCTGCTTGGTCAGCGTCTGCATGGTGGTGTAGTACAGGGCTCCACCCACGTTCAGCTTCACGTACTTGGAACTGGGGCTCGTGCCCTTGAACGAAGTGGTGCGGGTTGCAGCTGCTGGCACCGCTGAGCTCACCACACTTTCTCCTGACATCTCTTCCTGCCAGGGGACAAACACAGGGGCACTAGGGTCACAGCACCAGGCCTGATTTACTTTTCTCAGCCAGTGTGCTGCAGCTGGCCTCCAGATGTGTTCTGCTTAGTCCAAGTGTATACTGCATTGAAAACAAAGTTTACTCCCAGCGTTGACAACTCGGGAGAATTCACAGGAAAATCTGAGTTTCTGGCTTCTCTTAAAATCAGAGGCCAACTAGGCCAGCAGGGGAACCAGTGGTGGGAGCTGGGGTGTCGGCTAACCCATTGGGAGGAGCATGCACTCCCCAACCTGCCCCAAACTCCAAGCAGACAGCCTCATACACTGGCTTCACTGCTGACCCTGCAAGTACCAGTTTGCCACTAAGTCTTGCATTACAAGGACTTCCTTTGTGCCCACTACCCGTATAAATGAACACCCTGGCTGTATCCTAAAGTGGCCGAAAGCACTGCCAAGGTCCCGTTTCCTTACTGCTATGCACAACGGAACAGCTAAAAGTGCCACTCTTCCGTTGAATTATCCATGAAACAAGCTTTCAGGAAATTGAGTGGGGTTTCAACTACCGTTCCCTTACAGGGAATAAGTGTTTCTAAGTACTCAACAAAAGACATAAAAACTCTTGGAAGCAAGTTACTGCAAATTGGAGACTTCCTGTACTAGTACTTCCCCAAACAGCAAGATCCGCTGAGTCTCCCTAAAGAGCACTGCCAGCGACCATGTACATCCCCGTAAGACAAATGGATGCAGTGTATGATCTAAGCAGACGCAGGAAAGGAGACTGGTACCTGGCATGTGTGTATTCAAAGAAAACTTTTCTTTTTTCCCAAATTTTATTTTTTTTAATTGAAGTCTGGCTGATTTACAACGTTGTGCCCATCTCTGCTGTACAGCAAAGTGGCTCAGTTATACACATTTTTAATATTCTTTTCCATTGTGTTTATCATAGGATACTGAATATAGCTGCCCGTGCTATACAGTAGGACCTTGTTTATCCATCCTATATATAATAGTTTACATCTGCTAATCCCAGACTCCCAGCAGAAAACTTTTCTTGAATAGGGAACATTCTATAGCTGAAGATTCCAAGAGTGGCTGAGTCTTTACTGGATCTGGAGCACAGCACTGCTGGCCACGAGCTGGCCCAGCACTCACGCCGCGGCCTCGGGGTTCCCACAGAATGTGAATGACTTCACAGCACATCACCAGCAGACAAGGCAACTCGGCCGCTGATGCATCAAGACACAGCAAGGCCCCTCTGTAATTATGTCTGAACACAGACAAAAACAAGGGCATTGTCCCCCAAAAAATGACCAATAAGGGTCATCATGGCTGCTTCTTTACCGATTAGAGCCCCATTCCATCCTTCCCGCCTTCAAGTGAGGAATTACTAAGACCCAATCCCAGAATTAGCCGTTTCCCGGCAGCATTCAACACAGAGCAAAGCCCCACTTCCTGAGTCCTTCCCACAATCACCCACCAGAAGCCCGAGTCCTCTTTCTGAGACTCTCCACAGTTCTCCCTCAATGCACCAAGAAAACAAACCCAACTATGACTACAGACATACTCTTGGTGGTTTCAGCTGGAGGGCACTGACAACACAGAACCTTTAAAACTATACCCTGGACTGAAAAAGGACTGTTTTTGTTTTTTTTTATTCTTTATGCTTTTCTTTTACAGACCTCCCACAATAAACACATGTTACATTTATAGCTGGTAAAACACAACTGTTATTTTTTTAGAATTTATTTATTCATTTTTAATTTATTCATTTATTTATTTTTTGGCTGCTTTGGGTCTTCGTTGCTGCACACAGGCTTTCTCTAGTTGAGGTGAGTGGGGGCTACTCTTCCTAGCGGTGTGCAGGCTTCTCAATGTGGTGGCTTCTCTTGTTGAGAACACAGGCTCTAGGCACACAGGCTTCATTAGTTGTGGCACGCGGGCCTCAGTAGTTGTGGCTTGCAAGCTCTAGAGCGCAGGCTCAGTAGTTGTGGCACACGGGCTTAGTTGCTCCATGACATGTGAGATATTCCCGGACCAGGGCTCGAACCCAAGTCCCCTGCATTGGCAAGTGGATTCTTAAGCACTGCGCCAACATGAAAGTCCCCACAAGTGTTATTTTTTAAATGGGCTAAGGGACTAATGAGTGGCAACCTGCCATCCACCAGTGATAGTAGAGGCAATGGCCAACTTGCTTGACCTCCATCCCCTCAAAAGAATGGCCGGGAAATCACCCACTGGGGAACCCACTGCTGTCAGGGCGCTGCAGAATGACACGGACGAAGAATGGCCTCCTGGAGAGAAAGGTGTTTTCTCAAGAAACTGTTCCTGCTTCGTTCACCAAGTGAAAACATCACAAGAAGGTTAAGTTTTCAAAAGCTCAGGCTTAGCTCACCTGGGGTCTCTGTGGCCTGATGCCAAACACAAAAGACAGAGGCCAAGAGGAAGCAGTGATGCCTCCCTCCTAGCTTTCGTGTGAAATCAGTCCTCAGAGACCTGCCACTAACAGTTATGACCAACCATTTCCCCCAGAAAGACACGCTGTCCATTTGATGGCAGAAATGGCTTACGGGAGTAAAGAGTTTCAGAAAACTCTGAAGACCTGGAGCAGGGGGGAAAGAAAAGCTTATAATTATGGATTGGGAGTTTTTTTGGGGGGAGGGGGTTAGTTAAGGAAATTTGCCCCCAAATGGAAATACTTTTTTAAGCACCCATTTCAGATCTAAATTTATACAAAAATAAATATGTTTTTGGGAAATGGTACGGCATTTTGTAAGGCACTTACCGTGAAACAGACAAAAAAAGTCATAAAGAATAATTTTATGTGCTGTACTTTTTCGGCTTTCCAATACCTTTTTTTTTTTTTTTTTTTGCAGTACACGGGCCTCTCACTGCTGTGGGCTCTCCCGTTGCGGAGCACAGGCTCCGGACACACAGGCTCAGCGGCCATGGCTCACAGACCCAGCCGCTCCGCAGCATGTGGGATCTTCCCGGACCGGGGCACAAACCCATGTCCCCTGCATCGGCAGGCGGACTTTCAACCACTGCGCCACCAGGGAAGCCCCTCCTTACCTTTTTAAAGATAATCTGCATACACTAAAGTGTATTTTAAGTGTGGAGTTTGATGAGTTTGGGTCAACTTATGCATCTATGTAGCCCCTACTCAAATCAAGATAGAGAACATTTCCATCACTCCAGAAAGCCCCTCCCTGACCCTTTCCCACTCCTCCCTTCCAGGAGATACCACCGTTTTAATTTCTATCACCACATACTACCATTTAAATCCAAACAATGCTGGAAGACAGTTATCACTATCTTCATTTTGTGGACTTGGATACCTCAGCCCACAGACAATCAGTCACTTCTCCAAGTGCACTGGTGACGGAGGTGTCCTGATGAGGAAGCGAGTGAAGGATGTGGGCAAGTCCTGCCTGGCCCCAAGCCCATGGTTTTATCAATGGTCATGCTTGGTATATACAGAGCTATGACACAGAAATTGAGAAAGGGGGCCCCACCCCCCATTCTTCAGAAAGTACAAAAAAGCTCTGAAAGAAAGACAGGAGGTCATGTGTGGCTGAGAGCTTGCGTTTGGAAGCCAGACCTGAGTTTAGGCCCCAAGCTCTGCCACTTACCAGCTGTCTGAGTCTAGTCCCGTCTAGCGAGTGGGGACAGTAGCCACACCTTCCAGGGCTGCGAGGCCCCAGAGAGCACTCAGCCCAGCCCCTGCCTCAGAGCAACACAAAGCACTCAAACTACGATGATCTGGGAATGCGCTCCAAGTCTCAAATTATCTTCTAAGTCCATTTCCAGGTCTACTGACATTCGACCGAAACACTAAGAGAGAAAGGCAGAAACCATCCTGATCTAGCTTGAGACTTCCAAGTAGACAGAGAAAGCCCTGAACCTTTCCAGAGCCCACCCTTCTAAAGGTCAGTCACTTCAATACTAGGAGAGGCCCTTGGAAAAAAGATTCTGGCTGTGTTCATCCCTAAGCCTGAGTCGCAGGGAGCGGAGGACACAAAGCAGTAGACAATGAGCCTCTCACAGCAAACCTCTCTTCAGAGGCCTCCTCAGCCATCCCTGCTGGGATCCTGCCTTTGTTTCATCGTTAATGAGGTTGGGGAGGTGAGGCAGGAGAGAGCACAACTGGTTACAAGAAACAGAGGTAATTAACACTTGCAGTATTGGTTACTGATTCTACTCAATCAGAAGCCTATTCCAGTTAGATCAGTAAGTCCAGGCTTCTCTTTCCCACCTCCCCTGAGCATACTGCTGCTGATTCTAAACAGTGGCTCTCCACTTTAAAAAAATCCTGATGCCTGGGCCTTACTCAGGGAAATTCTGATGCAATTGGTCTGGGGGTGTGGCTAGGCAATAGCACTTTAGAATTCCAACTCCCTAGGTGATTCCAATGTGCAGCCAAGATTTCAACCCGCTGTTCTAAAAGTTCTGTGTCGCCCCACTCCAATCAGCCTCCATTTAACTTCCTGGTCTTGGAGAAGCTCCCCAACCTCTGGCTCTATAAGCCCTATGAATTTCTGACCACACAGAAAAACAAACCAAATCGGAAACAAAAGCAGGCCCCTGCTTCACAGCTTCAGGCCGCACACAGACAAGAAGCAACTGTACGCATGCTTAAAAAATAAAAATCAGCCTAAGGGGTAAAACCTCTGACTCGAAAGGAGACCCAGGCAAGTACAACAGGAAAAAAGGCACCAAATCCCTCACCCTTCGAAGCTTCCTCTACCTCTCTCTGTAGAACTGTCTCGTGTGTGTGTGTGTGTGTGTGTGTGTGTGTGTGTTGGAGATGTGTGTAGAAAGTCTGAATAAGAGTTCAGCAAACCTAAACCTGCAGTTCTGTGTGATGTTCACACAAATGGCTTCACCAAGTCTCAGCTTCCTAACTTGTAAAATGAAGTTAAAGCCATAATCTTCAGAATAACCCTCAAGGAATAAATGTTTAAGTATTTAGTGTAGTTTCCCTTTTGCTCAAGTTGTCCTTGAGGCCAGAGCTTCCCAGCCTTGGCTGTACTGGACTCACCTGGGTGCACTTAAAAAGTGGTGATTCCTTGGCTTCACCCAGAACAATTAATCAAACTGGGGAAGGGCGCGGCAACTCAGAAACTAGTGTTTAAAAAGCTCTTCAGGTGATTTTAATGTGCAGCCACAAAGCTCAGGTGTTTCTTTAGCTAAGAGTCATTGTCTTGAGGCTAATTATAAAACTCCCCCTACCCTCCAAATCAGGGCACTTCTACAACTCAGGTCTGCTGTTCCATTTCAACAAAACTAAATTCAACCAGTGGACTTCCCTGGTGGCGCAGTAGTTAAGAATCCACCTGCCAATGCAGGGGAAACGGGTTTGAGCCCTGGTCCGAGAAGATCCCACATGCCACGGAGCAACTAAGCCCGTGCGCCACAACTACTGAGCCTGTGTGCCACAACTACTGAAGCCCGGGCGCCTAGAGACCACGCACCACAACGAAGAGTAGCCCCTGCTCGCCGCAACTAGATAAAGCCCACGCGCAGCAATGGAGACCCAATGCAGCCAAAAATAAATAATAAATTTATGAAAAAAATTTAAAAAATTCAACCAACCACATAACTGTAGCATTATTTTGCATCCAAAACTTACAGGACAGCCACTGATATTTCCAAGAGTTTTGTCGAATTACTTTCTCTTCCTGTGTTGTGCACACAAACCATTGGCCTATTTCTTTCAGCAGGCTAGTTAGGAAAACGTTATCATCACTCCCATTTTTAAGGGGAGAAAAGTACCAGAACTATTAGGATCCTCTGACTCCCACTTTCATGCACCTCTCATTACAGAGCCCAAATCAAGAAATCACCACTCTCATCCCCTGCAGGGCTTGCTAAAACAGATTGCTGGTCCCCACCCCGAGACTGACTCAGTAGTCTGGTAGGTCTAGAAAACTTAGCCATTTCTAACAAGTTCCCAGGTGATGCTGCTGGTCTGGGGACCACCGTTTGAAAACCACTGCTTTAATGACTTCTCTCCCGCAAGTAGAACTTACTTTGCACAAAATGGAGCTGTTCAAAGTCAGATACGGGTTGAATCATTTTTTTCTTCAACACTGGCCTTGGGACCAGTGTTCCCTAAAGACTGCACTTGCCAGGTTAAAGACTTGGGGCAAGCAAGTAAAAAGAGGGTCTGGGCTGAACTTTGGTCATTCCCACCCAAGGAAAAAGGGCTATTCAAGAACAGACCCTTGAAGGATTCCAAGCACAGAGAAACTTCCCACAGCTAGAAGATAAGAGTGTGAGGCATCCCCAGCTCCTTAGCTGTGGCCACCCCGGGTCTCGACGCAAGTGACTAGATAGGTACCCAGGCGCCAATTAAGGCGCTGGATTCCGTGGCGAAGGTACCCTGACCTCAGGACCCTGGCATCATACCTCCGCGGAGTTCCCAGCACCGAGCGCACGCCCACCGGCGGGCTCCCTCGGTTTCTTTCCTCCGCTCCACTGGCCCGTGTGTTCAGACGCACTTGTAAGCCTCGTCCCCACTTCACCGAAACCCAGCGACTCTAGCATAACTTCCAAAAACCCCGAACACTCCGCTCCAAGGAATCCCACTTCGCCCTCTCATAAATTACCCATTCTCCTTCACAGCCCTGCCCAAATCCTCATTTTCCACTCCAGATGTCTATCTTCAGTGACATCTCTTTGTTCTCTTTACAATCACCAATTCTCATTTCCGACCAGCGCTGAAGTCTCAGACCCCCCACTCATCCATGCACATATCTACTCCACGAGCCCAAATGCCCTTTCCCGGATCCCCCAACAGCTAGGGACAGCACTCCCCTACACACACACACACGCACACACGCACACACGCACGCACGCACACACACTTCTCCGTCCAGAGCCCTTCCCCCACCCCCGGCCTCGCCCCCCATCCATTCCCCCAAACACCTCTCTCCTATCGCGACAGCCCCTCATCAAACACCCTCCTCTCGGTCCTTGCCCCCTTTATTCTACCTCTGTCCCGCTCTCTCGCCCGCCCAGAGCCCCCAGTCCGCGGGCAACGCCCTCCTTACCATGAAAAGCCGGAGGACGCCGGAGTCTCCAAACCCGGACTAAGAAAGACAGGAAACACCCAGCTCGCGTGAGCCTAGGGCGGAGGCGGGGCCGGGGCGAGGACTTCTGCACTCGGCCACGCCACTTCCGCCCCGCAGAGGACACCTTCCTAAAGGGTCCGTTGTACTCCTAGATATCGGCCGCTTTCCTTCAAAGTTCCCTGGTTGGAATGGGTTGCATCTCTTCTCGGCTGGGTCAGGCATTTATCCCGCTCCTAATGCTCCGCTTTTTCGGCTTCCATAGAGGGGGACAAGGTGCAGGGAGGTTTTCCTTTCCGGACGAAGAAGCTCTTCGGAACTGTCGTTTCCGGAACTGGATAGTTGTTTCCCGGCGGAGCTCTCAGAGTGAACATCCCGGGGCAAGATGGCGGTCGGGCCTCGGCTGCTGCCCCGGGTCAGGCAGAGCTCGGGGGTCTTGGGCTGAGGCGGTGGTAAACTGCGGCCCCGACCCCGAGCGCGGGGGCCTCGAGCGGATAAAGGTCTACGGCCTGCGGGTAGCGAGTGGCAACAGGGTTGTGGGTTTTCTGGGTAGTGGGGCCGGGGACTTGGAGGGAGGTGCCCCTGGGGCTGGGTCCCTGCTTCTCCTGGTCGGAGGGGCAGGTGCTGGGGGCTGGCTTTCGGCTTCCGGTAGGGGGTGGGGAGGGGTTCTCCGTGACCTTTTTATCTCTGGGGTCAATGAGATAAAAAGGGGCAATAGGCCTTTATAAGCGGACCAGCGCTGGACGAAAAAGATTTGTTATAGTGGTTGTTGATGCCGGGGAAAGACGCCGGGCCGCAGAAGTCACCCAAACCGGAGTTCGAACCCTACTCACTGTAACCTTGGGTGAATTCTTTCTCCTCTCTGAGCCCAGTTTCCAACTCTGTGAAATGGAGTAATTAGCTCGTGTCACAAAGGGTATTGTGTAATTAAAGTTTTAGAACCGTGTCTGACATTCAGCGCTCAATGGAAGCAGCTGGTGTTAATGATACCAATAAAGGAAAGCTTGGTAGTAATTTGACTTTTAGCCCCATGGGCAGCCTTGCATTCTCGATTTTTCTTTGCCTTCCGTGAATAGTGGCGTCCCTGGGTCTTCTCTGTTGCACTTAAAATAAATAATTGCTTTGGGGTTAGAAGTGGGTTCAAATTCAGGAGCCTAGTGACCTCTGACAAGTCATGTCCCTTTCTACATTTCATTTTCTCTGTGTGAAGGTGGGATTTGAAAGCATGCACCTACATAGGCTGTAGCCTTCAAAACCTGTTGCTTATTCTTAAGAAAGTTAGACTGTTGAGACCTGATAGAGCTGAAAAGACAGGTGGTTAAATATCTGTACAGTGTTTGATCCATGGTCCACCCCTAACAAATGGTCGTTCAACCAGGTCATTCAACCTAGCTGCCCAGCTATTCCCACCATAAGCGGAAAATTGCCTTGGGCTCAGACAGCAGTTATATATGGTGCTTCACCTTTGGACTACACTCTCTAGACTGTCAGGCTCTTTCATAGTGCTCCATGAAGTTGGCCTGATCCAGAAAAGATTGATTTTGAACAGTCTCATGGAACTATAGAAGTAGAGAAGAGTCCTGACTCAGTATTAAAATCTTGACTCTGCCGCTTTTGGGATTATGGGAGATATTAAATGGGATTATGGGAGATATTAAATGATCTTATAGGGTTGCTCTTCTTGTTAGATGAGATCATATAGAAAAGACTTGACAAGCAGTGGGTACTCAAATCAACATGTTTCCCTTTGCTTTTCAGACCATCTTGGTTATCAACAATCTCTTGTTTCCTAATCTTTCCACCTATAACATTTTTGTTTCCCTAACTGGATTGTAAACTTCTTAGGGACAGAACGGTAAAGCTCACTTACCTGCTATCTGCTTTCAGATACTCCTTATTAACATTTTCCCGTTTAATCTAATCACAGTATCCTGATGACTAAATCGAGATACAAGAAGGATAAATTTTCATTTAATCCTTTTAGCAACTCTAGGAGGCAGGTACTATTATTATCCTCAATTTACAGATAAGGAAACTGAGGCCTAGAGAGGGTAAGTAACTTGGCCAAATAAGGTAGAACCAGAACTTGAAAGAACCAAGGGCTATTTTGACCCAAGGCTTTCTCTGCTACTCACAGCCTTTTCTATGCACAGCCTTTTCTTTGATTCTCCAGGGCATTTAGCAGAGTAAGTACTTAATAAATACTTCTGATGTGTTTTTATTTGATTGATGAACTGTAATAGATGTTATGCAGGTAGAGGAGGTGAATAAGAAAGAATTTGAAGAACTGCAAAGTATAGACCATTATGTGATGTAAACAGAAACCAACATAGAGCGTTGCCAAGGGGATGATGATCTCAAGGAAGGGATCTTATCCTGCAGGGCCCGCTGGGAGAAGTGAAGTTTTGACATAGTCTTAGAGGTACTTAGTCACAGTTGGCATGCAACCTCCTGTTCTTCTATTGGGAAAAAGTGCTCTCTTCTCCTTCTGCTCCCTCCCCTTCCTCCCCCTGCCCCCCAAGAGGGACTGTCTCCACATTAAGGAAAGAGTATACCATTGTGCTCATGGCTTGGGCCGGCTTGTTTGTAGCTCTCAGGACCTTGAAGCTGTTACCCAATATAAACAGGGCCCAGGGCTCATAGCCCAAGTGACAGGACTGGTGAGTCTTAGTACACCCAGGGATAGAAAAAACTCTTAACGGGTGACTGTTATTTCCTACCCAGAGAACCATAGTGCCTGTATAGATGAGGGCCTCTGCTGAAGAGTTTTGAAAAAGAAAATCTTTGTGTCTATAAAAATAATACGTCAATTAGACTTACTGACTGTGCGCCCCGTCAGCCACCTCTGTAGGTGCTTGAGGTCATCATCTCATCCAGTGCTCATGATCGGCCTCTAAGCTGATTAACAGACGAGACAGAACGACTCCGAGATACCTCCCCCCGCGGTACACGGCAGAGCTAGGGGCTGGCTCCAGCTCTGACTCACAGTGCCATGTCACGCTGCCACATGCCTTCTGTGGAGAGTTCGAGAAACAGACTAGTTAGGGAAGCAAAATTTCCCACAGTTCCCCTACCTCAAAACAACCACTCTTTTTTTTTAATATTGAAGTATAGTTGATGTACAATATTATATATAAGTTATAGGTGTACAATATATATGTTACAGGTGTATAATATGGTGATTCACAATTTTTAAAGGTTTTGCTCCATTTGTAGTTATAAAATACTGGCTATATTCCCCATGTTGTACAAAAGATCCTTGTACTTTATTTTATACCTTACAGTTTGTACCTCTTAATCCCTTACCCCGATACTGCCCCTTCCTCCTTCCCTCGCCCTACTGGTAACCAGTTGTTCTCTGTATCTGTGAGTCTGCTTCTCTTTTGTTATATTCATTAGTTAAAACAACCATTCCTAACGTGTTTTTCCCCCCAGTTTTGTATCTACCAGCGCACGTGATTTTTTCTCTTTCGTTGTGTAATTGGGATCATGTTGTAATAGGGAAGAACCCTTTGTATTCTATTACAAGTTAATCACTAAAGGGATGTTGCCTGTAAGCTTAAATTATACATAATGGCCCACCTCTGGGAACCCTGCCTCCCAGGTAGTGAGCATTAAGCTAAAATACCTTTGTTTAGCTCACAGGAAACATCCTGACCAGGCCCACCTCTGAATGACTGCAGGGAGGAAGAAATTAACACGTCCCCTCTGGAGGCTGACCAGAACCAGGAAATGTTTGACTTTCCTCCCTCCCCTTTTAGTATAAAAGAAGCCTGAATTCTAATTCAGGCAAGATGGTTCTTTGGGACATGAGTCCACCATCTTCTCGGTTTGCTGGCTTTCCAAATAAAATCGCTGTTCCTTGCCCCATCAACTCGTCTCTCAATTTATTGGCCTGTCGTGTGGCAAGCAGTATGACCTTGGACTCTGTAAGAGTATTGGTTCGCAGCCAGCCTCCTTTTCATTTCTTAGACATAAATATTTTTCCAACTTGCTGAAAACGTCAAACATAATTTGCAATGGCTTTTAAACATGTCATCCCCTCTGTTATTCTTAGTTGCCATCACAAAACATTTACAGCTTTAATTCAGCAACTTCTTTGGGCTTATTCTCAACCTATTCCCTTTCAACTGTGAGGACTGGGGAGATACGTCTACCATTTAGATCCAACATTAACTAGAGAGGACACAGATGTTTTTGCACTGTCTTTATTACTTTTTCTCAGTGAGGAAGGTATATGATGCCTACCTAGAAAACTAATCCTAAATCTGGATTTTTTTTCTTCTGCTTCTGCCAGAAAACACAAGCTCCTCTGAAGTGAGAAGATGTCCTCAGCTGTGAGCCCTGTGCAGAATCACTAATGACTGATTACCTGACATTTCTGCGTCACCGGCAGGTCCTCAGGTGAGTGCTCCAGACTTCCACTTCTGGGGCAGAGTGAATGGTTTGGAAGACTGGTACCTTTTTATTGCCTGTCTTCTCACGCTCCCTCCCATCATCAGGTAAAAGTTTCAAGATGGTCTTACAGGTACTTAGTCACAGTTTGTGTGCAACCTCCTGTTTTACTATTGGGAAGAGGCTCTCTCTTCTGCTTCCTCCCCCACCCCCGACACCCCATGAAGGACCGTCTCCATGTTCGTTTGTCTTGAGAATTACTGATGAGAGACCCACATGTAGGAAAAGCCATACTGTTTAACAGATGTGAATCAATGTCGAACAGGGGCCACAGA